TGTAATACACACATAGTGTTGTAACAAAGAGTACCGAAACTCGAAATTTGGTCGATCTCACAATGTGTCACCTGATTTGACTACGGAATGTTTCGAAATAATTTATCATGTAATTTTAGGTCAGGTATTTGCTTTTGAACAAATGTGTTCTTAAAATAAAATTGCATAAATAGATACAATTGTACCAACAAAATTTAGAGTGTACGGAAGGATAAGCCAGCAATGACCTTGTGTATGAGATGTGGACTTATAGTACTTATAGTTATAGAAACAGATTCGAATACGAGTTGCTTGCATCAATCACTTTTTAACCGACTTCAAAAAAGGAGGAGGTTCTCAATTCGACTCGACTGAGAGAAACGATTTTGATCATTCTTTTTTAAATGAAACCAATTTTACGGATTTATCGCGTTTATTTCTAATTTTAATTCCCAACGTTTCGAACCCTTTACAGCGTTCATGGTCACGGGACATACTGAGGTGTTAGACGTCTGATTGTCATAGTTAACTCGGGCTATCGTCAGTTTTTGTATTATTAATTTTGTGTCCGATCTATGCAGAGGGAGCCCATTTTGTAACTTGTCTTGCAGTAGTGGTTCGTTTGGGCTTAGATTTAATTTTATTGATGACAGGATCCCAAGCTGATGGTAGTACCCAACCCTCTTCTCTATTGAAATTAGGGTGTTTTTTAATTTCAATAGCCTCGCGAATCATCCTTGGGAGGAATCGGTGTTCTTTTGCAAGGATCTGTGGTCTATCAAGCCTGATGTAGTGGTTGGGCCAATTTAGAGTGTGCTCACAAACTGCAGACTTGTTTAATCTACTATGTTTTATGTCAGCTATATGTTCTTTCACCCGCGTGAAATCGGCTCAAAATCGTAGTTTCATTTATAATGTGTAATCGCGTAAATACAAGAGATTCTTTTTTTATTTGAAAGCTCATGCTTTCCGTGTGGTCGCATATTAATGTCATCTCTTATATCTTCTTATAATTTCATCCGGATTTTCCGGATCCGTAACGTAACGTTCGGATACGTATGGAACTCCTGAAAATCAAGTATACAATGAATACAGAGCGAGATATTCGAAGTCGGTTTTTATTTTCGTTAAGAAAAAAAAATTACTTGATCTTAATCCTAACAATTTCTTGAATTCAATCAGTGTCAGACAACTGATTTGATTTGATTTGACACTACACATTTTTAAAAGAAATATCTACTTAGTACAGATTTAATCGTGTTTATTTTAAATCTATATTTCCAACGTATGGATTATTACGTTTAAGTTTTCTATAGCAGTTTCTTGAAGTTGCACAAAATATTTTATTTACATAACGTTTTATAATATGTGACTCTTAGTAAAGTAAGATAATTTACTGCCATGTTGGGTTATCACCTAACTATATCTTATCTATAATGTTCGTTACTTTTCGAGGACCCTTATGGTTTTGATAATGTATTCGTTCTATCACCACTCCTATTTAAATATAAAAAGATTAAACCGATACTATGATAAGTAGCGAATCGTGCAATAATGTTAACCATGGGACGCCACTTTTTTATGTGAATAGTTACCAAGGGAGCAGGCGGCTCACCTGATAGTAAGTGAATACCGCTGCCCATTGACATCTGCTACAGCCGAGAGTTCCAGATGCGTTGAAAACCTTTTGAAAATTGGGCTCCGGCTACCCCACTCACCAGACGAAACGCGAAAATATTATACTTTCGCTTCACGTCGGTCTTCTGTGAGGTCGTGGTACTTACCCGGACGAGCCTGCCCATTCGTGCAACAGCCGAGGCTGCTGCGGGGCCTTACCACTAAAATATATCTTTAAATAAATCTCTTCGAAACCTACAATAATTTAACAACGGCGAAAAATATTAACTTTTTACAGGAGCAATGAGGTCTTAATTATATGTTAATAGACATCTAACTAACGCTGCATCTGAGGCTGTATAACACATATTTACAAACACCGATTTTTCCGATAAAACCTCCAATTGGATCGTTGGTGGACGTCACTTGGATTCCATGCACTGTACCATCTTGACTTTATATATTAACTATTGCCAATCTCTAGTAAGCAGAGAGACATTGTCAAGTCTATGCCAGCGTGGCATTCGAACCTTAGGCACGTGATTTATATGGCAGGTGTTGACGGCGTTAGCCAAAATACCGTTGAGTTACATGAGCGCAAACTAAAATTACTTAACACTACGCTACCAATAAAGCTTACATAGGATACAAATATTTTGTTATGAAAATGTTAAATTAACATAAATTTTAAATAAGACAATTTTTACCAAAAAAGGACCTGACTTCAAACCGGAAACTAAAATGAAACATTGTTAATACCTATAAAATTTGAGAATTGTCTTCGATTTCTCTGAGATGCCATCATCAGATCTGGGTTTCCTTCATGGTGCCACCGTTGGGATATCTTCTTTCCAACAAAATAAAGAATCATCATAGTCGGTTCATAAACGACGAAGCTATCCGCGAACCCACAAAAAAATCTATACGGTCGAATTGAGAAACCTTATTTTCTTAAGTCGGTTAAAAAGAGTGTTAGCTTAAAAAGCGGGTTCATTATATGTTAGGTGATTACTGAACTGAATCCTGCCTTGGCAGGAGATAATACGTTGGAGAAGAGAGGATAAAAACAACGGAAGGTATGGGATATATCGCGAGAGGCATCCTTGAGTAGTTTTGATTTGAACAGAATAAGTTACACTCGGAAAACCAGTAATCAAACGTGAAAATACTATTAATATTATTTTGGTTGTCGTAATCAATGTAGTGGTTTTCATGGATTGTAACTTAAATTATATCATATCATCATTTTATTTTTTTTATTTTTTTTTTTTTGAGACATTGCCCTCACTTTAGGATAACATTATCCTGTGCTGCATGGACGTTTTTACATACATAAATTTCACGTGGACAAACACCCAGATGCGAAACTATCTGTGGGCCACACAAATAGTTGTCCCGCGTGGGAACCGAACCCACGACCCCCGAAGCCGAAGCCAATACCTTGACAACTGCGCCACGGAGTCACCAAAAAATCATTATCATTTCTCTATCGGATAAATTATATTTCAATCTTGAAAAACGAAACGTAATAGTTTACATTTTTACTATTATTTGTAACCCTGCATTTACTTTGTTACTAACAATGTTTCACAATAATTGTACCGTCACAATTTAATGTAGATAATAATCAATAATCGTCGACAATTTAATGTAGATAATAATAACGTATCTTGTCATGACTTACGCTTAAGGCTGTTATGTAAAGTCAATAAATGCAACTGTTACCTCCAATTAAATCACGTAAATTTTTTGGTTTTATTTTCGAAATGTCTAAATAGCTTATAAGGTTAAAGTTTTTCTATTAATTGTAAGCTATTGCATCGATTTTTAAATAATTGATCTCAATTCTAATGTTTTTTTTTACATATAATCAACTTCGATGGAACTTTTAGTTATTTTTTCTGCGAAACAACAAAATCTTACAAAGGGATAAAAGCGAAGAATGAAAGGCAGAGAAATTATATTACAGTCTGTGAAGAAATTTACTCATGCAATTTTTTGTTATTATAATTATAAATTTTGGAAGATTAAACTGTTTTAATTTATAAAAAAGGTACAGTATGCGCTTAGCTTTAAGGCGATAATAACTTAACTTCTTTTACTGTTAAGGTATATGTGACTAAACTTATTTTTCCTCATTCATTGAAATTTTTATATCAGCTCCGAAAACCCTGCTTGCATTAATATTATAAAAAATTATGGCACGAATTTCAAAATTTAAATATTATATATAGAGTATATAGAGTATATAGAGTATATATTATTTCTTTAAAAAACTTTAAAGATAGCATTTTCTTTCTTGTACAGTATTGGCGATGCAGATTGAATAAAATTTACATCAAACAATATAAATTATATAAAATTTAGTTTTTTATCAAGAGCTGACGACTCTAGGGAGTATATCAAACTGTAATTATAGAATGATTACATTGGCTCCTAATAGGTATACATGCAAATTCCAACTTGTTCTCACATCAGAAATTGGTGAAAGTTGAATTGCAATAATGTGTATAATTTTACTTCATCACTGGAAAAACATTACGTAATTTATGGCAAATAAATCGAATTATGGCTTAACAAACGGTATAATTCAATTTAAATACTAGGTCATCTTAATACGTTACACTACGCTGTGAGCAAAAGTTCACACATGTCAAATAAAATATTGAAGCAAATTGGACTCTATCTTAACGACTTAAGACGCAATACTCAGGTGCGTCATCGATTATTCTTTGTTAAGAGTCTTAGAACTATTTTGAGGTTAGCCTTTGACGTATTCAACTATGAATAGAACGTTAGTGACGTTTCGATGTATAGTGCATTCACGCAATAGGGATAAATAGAAAAAGAAAAGAGATGGAATGCATTTCGTTTTCTGTTCATAGATTATTTAAACAGAAGATAATCAATGGTTGCGCGCGCAAATTCAAATATGGCTTCCGTGTTTCTACAGAACATCTGACTGTAGCCTTCAGTAGCAGTCGACCTATCGCCGAGTCTTAACGTTTCATTAACTAAACTTGCTAGGAACCCAACAGGAGTCGTGTTTTTAATGCGGTTTATAGAAGCAAAGTAAATGTACCATTAAGTGATATGAGAAATGAATTTATATCTCTGAAGTGTGAGACTTGAAATGTTATTTAAATAATCGGTGAATACATAAAAAAATATGATAACAATGTTTGCCTCAGTATTCAAATAAATAAAACAACAAACGATATTAAAAGCATTACCACTCCTGACGCTAGACGCATCCGGTCTCCTGTCTTTTTTGAGTTGAATAGGAGAACAGTTAATCAGGAAAGGGCCGGTTTGATGCAACCAGATCGCGGATCTGGATTGCGCGAACGAAGTACCGAGTTATGGAGAAAGGTGGGCGAATTTCAGAGTACCTTTTCGCAACGATGGGCCCAGGGGATCGAGGGCCGAAGACCACGGAAGACCGGCGCGCCTCGGTCGAGCCCACCGGCCTGAAGAAGTGGCTGGTTGACAACACGATGCTGGTGACCACCTTGGCTGGGGTCCTGGCGGGGATATCAGTGGGTAGGTCAAAATGTGCAGTCACTGTCGCATGTAATGATAACAATAATAACCGTTTAATCAGCTTAACAAACAACACTGGCAAAAAATAGACAATCGACATTTACTGATGTAGAAAAAAACGTACACTAATGTATGTACACGATTTCTCTTGACGTTGAGTTAGTAATAAATAATAATAATATTAATTTATTTATAAAAGAAACATTGTTATTCAAGTTAGATAGCTTATTTTAAACTAGTAAAGAAAAGTTATTCAAGTTTTAAAGATCTTTGCTGTAGTGTGGCTGGAGATAATGAGCCAATTATTTTCTGATTCTAGCGTTAGACGTTATTATCCAAATGTATGTAAAATCACGTCTTTATTAATCTTTGCGAAATATAATTCTTATATGGAGGAATGTGCTTTTTACGCACGTGGAAGCAATGGAGGTAGTCTGGAAACGCTTCTAAACTCAAAACGTCTCATTTTGCAGTAGCATATTTTGATAATGTTCGCAATTAATAATTATTATTATTAAATGTAGGTATCATGATTGGTTGTTCGATAAAGGCAATAGAATAAGTCTAGTCTTTCGAGTACACATAATGTTATTACAAATTATATTTATTATGATTTATGGTGTTGTCTATGAGTGAGTTTTCTAAATATTTTCAATAAGTTTTTTTGATTTATTACTAAACTGCCATTGTTAAATTTATTTTTAAAATGAAATGGCTTGAAAAGAAGCTATAAAACATAGTATAAGATATAAATATAATCATGGTTGAAATTTGTGTAGCAGTGGATTCGTAAAGACAGAAACAATTCTTATTGGCTCGGGTTCAAACGTTCTTATATGAGATAACTTACTCTACGTTTCCTTTCCTATATAATAAAGGAAAACGTCCTGTATATTTTTATGGGCATTCTGATGCAATATTGTTCGTTTCTGAAGCCAACATTAATGAACTTTCATTGACTGGCAATATGCGTAACAAGGCCCGAAATTTCCTTTTTTTTTTTTTTTTTTTTTTATGCGAAAAGTTGTCAAACGAGCAGACGGTTCACCTGATGCTTAGTGAATACCGCCGCCCATGGACATCTGCCACACCCGAGGGTTACAGATGCGTTGTAAACCTTTTGAAAATTGGGCTCCGGCTACCTCGCTCACCAGACGAAATGCGAAAGTATTTGTCATACTTCCACTTTACGCTGGTCTTCTGTGAGGTCGTGGTACTTACCCGGACGTGCCTGCCCATTCGTGCAACAACCGAGGCTGCTGCGTGGCCCTACCACCGTAAAATTATAATTTCCTACAGATTAATTTAAAATTCCCTTTTATCTAATTTTTACATTATATTTAAAAAGAACTAGCTAAAATTATATTATACTGAATAATATGAAATATAAACTTTAGATATAATGTGACTTTTAACAGAACGTTAATTACATGATACGGAAATTTTTAGTTTTCTGAACTTCTAGGCTCCCATTAGAAAACTGTAGTTTTCAACAACAAACCGTTCATTGTTCGTACACAGTTCTATATCTGGATTATAAGCAACTTATTAACAAGCAAGGCATATCTTAAAGTCGGATTTACGACGTACTGTTTGTGATCTTTTTTAAAACCAAGCAAGTGTTATCTGAGACAATCGAACAAGTTTTACCACTTGATAAAAAATATTATTTAATCTGTACTATCAAATAATTCAATGTATACTGTATTTGGATGCAATGTTTGTCCTATCCAAACTGGCTGCATTTTGTATTTGTCCATTGTTGTAACACTGGGTTTTGATCGCAGGCTTCGGACTTCGACCTTACCACCTGGGACCAGATATGCTCATGGTCATATCCTACCCCGGCGAAATATTCATGAGGCTGCTGAAGCTGATGATATTGCCACTGATCATAGCCAGCCTGATAGCGGGCTCCGCCAGCCTGAACGCCAAGATGAGCGGGAGGATTGCGGTCAGAACTCTGCTGTACTTCATTCTGACCTCCTTCTTCAACGCTCTCCTCGGTATTGTCCTGGCACTCCTAATCCACCCGGGTAAACCAGAATTAAGGGAGCATGCGACTGCGGTCGAGGGGAAACGGGACCACAGCATTTTAGACAGCCTCTTCGACATTGGCCGGTAAGTTTACCTTTAACGTTCTACATATAGCGCAAGATTTGCTGAAGAAAGTCTAAAGAAACTGTCGTTAAGCTCAATCAACTCAAGTCGCAGTTTTTATTGGCTGAAATCATAGATTGCGCATATTGTGTAGACTTATATTTTACATATTGTATTTTTTAGTATTTTTTATTATAGCGGCAAAAGAAATACATCATCTGTGAAAATTTAAAGTCTAACTATCACGGTTCATGTGATACAACATAGTGATAGACGGACAGACAGACAGACAGCGGAGTCATAGTAACAGATTCTTATGGTAATTTTACCCTTTGGGTACGGATCCCTAAAAGTAAATAAGATTTAAAAAAAAGAATTTGATATCAAACGTTGCCTTCAGTGCCATCAGAAAACAGTAACGAAATATGGTAGTAAGTTAAATAAAAATCAAAATCGTGCAAGGTTTGAAAATTAGAAGAGAATGTTTAGGATAAATGTTTATTGTGATTATCTTAAGTTATACGTATATGTATAAATGTGTAAGAAACGGAATAAGTATTCAAAAATATAGGGAAGTGTGAATCTGTGTGCAGATCCCTGGGTATTTAGTGGAATTTATAGCAGATTTTATTGTAAATCTGTAACTGGGTTTGTATCGCATTACAACTTCGAAACCTTCAAATTGAATGAAGTGAAAGATGTTTCAAAAGAAAATGAATCAAGTGAGTTCAAAAGTATGAATTCGGCAAACACTCAGTCTATGGAATAAAAAAAAAACTTGAACTGAATATCTTGAAAATTATTTTGAAATATGTTCGTACGGTTGAAAACACGCTATTTACATCAACATAAATGAAAAATAAGTCTAGCTAATACAGAAACAACTGCAAAAAACCCGATACTGAAAGATGAATTCCTTTAGTGTAAACTGTTTCACGTGAAGAGAAGCTGATCCAAATAATTTTTGTTGTGTACAGATTATTTCTGAATATCCGTCTGTTGTTTGAATCAAATGCTTTCCTGATTTCAGGAACATATTCCCCGACAATATAGTTCAGGCGACATTCCAACAAGCACATACTGTGTATGCTCCACCGACACCCGTCATCGGAAGGAATTTCAGTGATAATGACACAGTTCCAGAATTTGTAAGGGTTGTGTCTTACAGGTAACATATTGAATAAGTTTTAAACCTCATAATTGACAAAATTTGTTTCTTACTCAAATGTAATAAAATATTTCATACATCTAGACCTATAACGAAAACAATATTAATCATTTTACATTCAGTTAAAGACCTTTCCGTGAATGACCTGAATCTGAAGAAAATTCTCCCAAGAAGAATTAAGTTCTTTCTATAAATTAATAAAATTAGCAAAACAACTCGTTATTGTAACAGTATGGTTATCATAACTAGTTTCTGATAAGGAACTCGTTATGGTAATAATATGGTTATCATAACGAGTTGTCAGAAACTCGTTATGATAACCATAAATAAAAACATCATTAAATAATGCAAAAAATTAAACTACTTATTTAGTTAATCTAAGCAATTTCAAAGTGAGCAAAACTGCCTTTTTAATCCAAAGTATTGCAAACAATTATCCCTACATATTTGTATTTTATAACTTTTCATTTATTCTACTTACTGTTGTTGATACTTTTTACGTCAAGGCCGGGGCGGCATCAAAAAAAAAAAAGATTGTGTTAACCATATGTTAGTTATCCCTACATATTTGTTTTTATATATTCTAAAACTAACTTGTAATTATATACCACAGTTTATATTCATTAGCGAATGTCTAAAAACATTTGAATGTTTTGGGACATTTGCTGCGGAAATAATTCGATTATTTCCGCAATCGATACAGAAACGTACATTTTCTTAGTGTAAAAACACAAAACTATTACTGTTATTCCTTCTATTTTGCAAACATTGACCTATATCTGAGGAAAGTTTGATATTCTTAATTTATATGCCTACTATAATAAAAAAGTAAAGTAACAGCCTATACATGTCCCACTGCTGGGCAAAGCATTCTTCTGTACAGAGGGTATCAGGGCATAGTCCACCACGCGGCCCCACTGCGCATTGGCGGACTTCACATATCTTCGAAAATATATATATATTTTTTTATCATTTCGAAAATATGCAGGTTTCCTCACGATGTTTTCCTTCACCGCGGAGCACGTGATAAGTCAGCACTTAAGAACTTCATTGGTGCCGGCACCTGGGATCGAACTCAGGTTGCTCGAGTATATTGAACTAAAGGCGAGCGCCCGGACACCGAGCTATCACGGCCTACTATAATGTTTATATTAAACATAATTTAAATATGCTCCTCGTCATATAATCTTATGGCATTCTATTGAAATCTCGTTCAATCAGAAGAATTTTTAAAATGAAATTTTAATTTCAGTCTATTGGTCTCTTACCATATTTCGGTCTAGACAGATGCGATGAGTCTAAACGATGCTAAAAGGTGGTCATTGGTGTTTTCAGATCGGGGACGAATACTTTGGGCTTAGTGTTCTTCTGCATGGTTTTCGGCAGTCTACTCGGAACCTTGGGCCCTAAAGGGCAGGTGGTGATAGACTTTTTCCAGGCGATCTTCGAGGTGATAATGAAAATGGTGACTGGCGTTATGTGGTTCACTCCGGTGGGTGTAAGCAGTATTATCGCCGGCAAGATACTGGGAGTCAGTAATGTCGGTAGGGTGGAATTTTCTTTTCCCCTTTTCATCCATAATTTCTATCCTATTCTGATAATTAAGATTTAGGTTGCCCTATAAGCTAATCTCAATTCTTTAAAACACGAACCATAACATGAACCACAGGTATGGCTTTCAAACTGTGAAGAGTAATCTTCAATACTTAGTTTTTGAAGAATAGCGATTTAAAATTTTCTAGATTTCGAATTTTCGGTAAATTTCCTAACTTGTGTAAACAACTATTTTAATCCAGAATTTACGTCCTGTTTAATTTTCCTTCTGTTTGCCAATCCTTACGCGTTATTCTAATAGTCATAATCATTTTCTTTTCAACATTCCAGATAGAATAATTTGGTTAAAATAATAAAGTTGATGTTCCAGTTAATCTGAGACAAAAGTCTCTTATGTACCGATGCTAGGTAACGCTTTTAAAGTTACAAGGTGAATTTGTTACTCAAAAAGTAAGCAATAAAAATACTTTCTTTATAAAGAATATGTGCTAAAGCTAAATCAACAATTTTTGTTTGCTGGTTGAGCTTTCGCTTACATTTTCACATTTGGCAGGTCCTAAAAACCGATTAAAGTCTCAAATTCAACAGGGCAGGTAATATCTCAGCTGGCGTGGTTCATACTGACTGTCACCATCGGCGTGTTCCTCTACCAGTTGGTGGTGATGCAGCTGATATACTTCGTCTTCTTAAGGCGAAACCCTTACAAGTTCTACTGGGGTCTATCGCACGCGATGCTCACCGCTTCAGCAACGGCTTCCACGTAAGTTCCCTTAGAAGTTTCGCCGGTATTTCGCTCGTGAGGATTTTTCACATGAGAAAAAAGTAAAAATCACAGTAACAGCCTATGAATGTCCCATTTCTGGGCTAAGCTTTGCTCTGTACAGAGGGTATTATGGCACAGTTCACCATGTGACCCCACTGGGGAGTGGAAAACTTCACTTGTCTTCAAAACTTCACCACTGAGCACGTGAAGTCAGCACTTAAAATTGTTCGAGTGTATTAAAGGAAAGCGCACTGTGCTCAAATAAATTTCTTCTTACATGTGGTGACTGACACATAAATTAAAAAAAATCTTCAACACTGTACATTGAGTAGTTAATTAGTACAAAAACACGTAAACACTTACTAAACTTATTGTAATTTTGTAAAGTGTTGGCTGAAGTATATTGGCGAATAAGCTGCTCCAGGGGCTGTGGGTTCGATTTCCACACGGGACAACGATTTTGAACAGACAATTGTTTCGGATCTAGGTAAAATTTATGTTTGTCAGACGTCTTTACAACACTCCTACAGTATTGTTAATCACTACATAGTATAAAACAAAGTCGTCCAGCTGTCTGTCTGTCCCTATATATGCTTAATCTTTAAAACTACGCAACGGATCTTGATGCGGTTTTTTTACTAGATAGAGTAATTCAAGAGGAAGGTTTATATGTTTAATACATTGTACCCATGCAAAGCCGAGGACCCGCCCTGGGTGGGTGTGTTTTATAATATATATTTTATAAAGCAAGTAAAAAAGATATAGTATGTATAGTCATTTTCTCCAACCCTACTCCGCTTTCAGGGCCGCCGCACTGCCGGTGACCTTCCGCAGCATGGAGGGGCCTCTGAAAATAGACCCTCGGATCACCCGCTTCGTGCTGCCCATCGGCTGCAACATCAACATGGACGGGACCGCGCTCTTCCTCACCGTCGCCAGTCTGTTTGTGTGCCAGATGAACGACATGCATCTGGGCTTCGCTCAGCTGGCCGCCATATTGTAAGACGCTCTGCTTATTAACAGCTAGCTAATCTAATATCTAAATCTCAACTGAATAAATTCAAAAATATCATATAAAAGTTTTATTATATTAGTAAACATAACATTAGCGATGGCAATGTCCCTAGAATAAATGCACGAACAGTGCAATTCACTTTAGTGCACGCCGTGTTGTGCTCTCGTTATCTACACGCGCTGAGTTTATGTTTGACACGCACCCAGCGCGATTTACGGTTAGAGCAAAAAATATGGGAATATCATATCATTGACCTGGGAACCTTCAAGAAGAGAGCATATTCTTTCCCGAAATATCGGCAACACATTTGCAAGCCCTCCGCTGTTGCAGATGTTCATGGGCGGCGGTGATCGCTTTCGATCCGTTGAGCCCCCTGACCGTTTGCCCCCCTTTTTTTTTTCATAAAACTGGTCTTTGTGGATCAGGCTTTACTGTGTAAGACTGATCTTAAGTCCTATAAAAACAGTGCAGCCCGCATCCTGTCCCCACCCTGATTTTTACAATAATCGCGAGACCATTGTGGATGGGCAGGCTCGCATCGACAGCGGCCTCGCTGTCATCAGCGTCAGTGCCGTCGGCGGCGCTGGTGCTGCTGCTGGTCGTGCTGGCGGCGGTGGACGCGCCCGCGCACGACGTCTCGCTGCTCTTCGCGGTCGACTGGCTCGTGTGAGTATGAGACGGTCCGTATGGGCCGACCAGATAGACCGGATAGATCGACCATTACGAACGTGTATGATTGCAAACGTGGGCTATTTAAAGAGAGAACTTTTCAGAATACACGTTGCTCGGTGGAGGAGGACAGGTCACGTGTCATGGTCATAATTCAAAGAAAGAAGTTTTCAAAATACACGATGCCCGGTGGAGGAATACCAGATTGTGTGGTAGTAGTGTGTTGGGAGAAGTTTCCAAAATACCAGTTGTCTTGTCTGACGGGTAAAAGGTCTATAAAAGCTACCAACCTAGCCCAGTAAAGAGTGAAGACAGATTAAAGTGAATAGATATTATAATATGTACAGACATAATGTGAACTTCAGTTCTGATTGTTTCTTATATCTCACTTCTATATCATTTTTATTCTAGTAACCAGAAGACGTTGAATTTAAAATTATTTAGATTTTTTGTTCATATTTATTTATACAATCGTTCAAGTTTCACGGCTAAACTGTTAAATTATGATTATGAAGTACTACTTTAGAACATAATATAAAAATCACATACCTGAGGTATGGGATTTTTAAATTATGTTCTAAGCGGTATACCTTATTTAAGGTACTTTATTGTGCAGGGATCGAATCCGCACCACAAATAACATGCTCGGCGACTGCTATGCGGCAGCAGTCGTGGAACATCTCTCAAAGAAGGAACTAATGGCCTGCGATGCCGCAATCTCGGTAATAAAATAATCGTTTAAATATGGTCTCATAATATTTATACAGAGAACAAAAAAGAAAAAGGAAGGAAGAAAGCAGATGACTAATCATACAATTCACCATAACCTTAGTTAATCATTAATCGCGTTTTGCAAACGCGATAGGTGATATAAAATTAAAATTCTAAATTCCACGGCCCGGCCCCACAAATGACAACAGTACTTAGATATTTTTGTTAAAACATTTTTGTTGTTTGATTATTCTGTTTCAAATGCGTTTTACAAAACCTAGTTAAACATATAAAAAAATTCAGATCTACGATAATTATTTGTTGCATAAAGCTTCATCGAACGCATAATTATTTGTATCAAATACTTGTTGTGAGGAAGAGTCGAAACTCAACGCGCGGTGAAGAGCCTAAAGCATAGTATTTACACACTAGGTAGGTAATTTTTCCGAAACGGAGTGCCTGTGCTTGTAATGTTTTCTTCTGGAAAAGCCTCTATGGAATATGATTTGTTAACTGTGTATGTTAGTACTGATTTGTGATAGTTACATGGTTGTTGAGCTTATTGACGGTTCTTTTTTTTTTTTTTTTAATGTGAAAAGTTGCCAAACGAGCAGACGGTTCACCTGATGTTAAGTGAATACCACCGCCCATAGACATCTGCTACACCCGAGGGTTTGCAGATGCATTGACAACCTTTTTGGAAATTGGGCTCCGGCTACCTCACTCACCAGACGAAACGCGAAAGTATTTGTCATACTTCCACTTTACGCCGGTCTTCTGTGAGGTCGTGGTACTTACCCGGACGAGCCTGCCCATTCGTGCAACAGCCGAGGCTGCTGCGTGGCTCTACCACCGTTTCTTCTCTAGGTTCTTGTTTGGTTCTGCGGTTCTTCTCTAGGTCTATCTAAAATTATATAAATTATACCTTTTTTATGCAAGTGAGTGAGCAAGAGAGCTTACGGATCACCTGATGGTAAGTGACAACCGCCGCCCAAAGACATTTGCAACACTCGTAGGGTTGCAGGTGCATTGCCACCTTGTAATAAAGCTCCGGCTACCTCACTCATCAGACGAAACGCGGAATCATCACTTCCACTTCAGGGCTGGTCTTCTGTGAGGTCGTGGCACTTGCCCGGACGAACCTGCCAATTTGTGCAACAGCGAAGACGGTTGCGTGTCCCTACCACCGTAAAATCGTATTTGTCATACTTATCGAAAATCGTATTTGTCTTAGTTACTGTATCCCGACTTTTACCGAGTCCCGTCCGTTTCACGGTCTTATGCTGCTACACAGACCTTCACTTACTGCTATTATTTTGTTTGTTTTTTTGTTATGCTTACATTTATTTTAAGTTTCTGTGTAGTAACATTATTATTTTTAAGTTTTGTGTGTATTCATTTGTTTTTAGACCGTGAATAAACGTTTCTTCTTCTTCTTCATATCACTATTAACATAAATGTACATCCATATTATCTAAAGTATATGAAGAACGTTTATAAGCGCTGGAAATAAGTCTAAAATAATCTTGATTTTGGCCATAAATGTTGCACTAACGGCTGTTCCAGGAACCAACGGAGGCGAATGGACTCCTGCAGACGTCCAGCACTGAAGTGGATTTGGAGACGATAACACCTGGCGACAAGTCTTTAGCGTCCGATGACGTCATCATCGACATGCATCCGAATAACGCCGCCGTGCCAAACAGGGCATAATGTTTCATTACCAGCAACGAATTATACAGCGTGTCGTTACCATCGCGACAATAAATGAACACACATATAGAGGATAACTTTTTAAAGTTATATTAAACATTTAAATTCTTTAAAAAATAATATTAACAGAGTTATTAATTTTTCCAAAACAAGAATTTTAGAACACCCATACCTATAAAAGCGTAACGTAAAGTTCATTTGTAAAGGTCAAAAAGCATATAAATGGGTTGAATGAATTTAAACGAGACAAAACATACTGTTAGAAGGAGAGGCTTGTAATGCGACGCTGTGGCGCGAGTTGTATAGGGTGTTACAAATTTTGTTTCTTTTTTACTTAATTAGTTTGTTAGAAAAATATTTTTTTTAATTATGGATTTTGTTCAACGTTATTATTTTTTTATGATTATTGGCAAGTAGCGTTAGACGTGTGTTCATTTATTGTCGCGATGGTAACGACACGCTGTATGTATAATTTCACTCTACCACGTTATTTAGTGAGTAATCATTTCAATGGATGCGAATTCACATAGAGCAATTTTAGTGAGCGTCGCTAAGTAGTTTGCTGGATGTAGATTGATTCCAAAAGTTATGATACAAAAGACATTTTTTAAAAAATGATCGAAAAGTTTCTTTAGCCATATTTTTTTTAGTATAGTCTATAGACAGAGTTAATGTTTTCTTGAACAATGTAATGATGTAATACGAATTTAGAATTGATGTGTAAAAGAATTATTGTCACTTTTATGATTTCGTGAGGTGTTAATCTGTGAATAGACCGATTACAAGAAAACATTAGGGCAAAGATCTAGAGTCCAGCTATAGTTCTCATGAGAAGCTTTGGTGGAGAGAAACAATTGAATTCCAATGTATTCAAAATAATGACAAAGAGAACTTGTTTGCATGGAGCTCATTCAGAAGCGAATGGAGCAAGTATAGTTACAAAATAAAGCAGACTGAAATATTTCAAATTAACGGAAAATATTTAGTGCAGATGAGATGAGGTTTTACTCGAACAATTAATACTACACTTAATGAAAATCTTAATGTTTCTCATATTTTTCTTTGCCAGTCATTAAACTACACCGTGTAAAATTGTTATCCTGTTAATTGGCAACACTCACAAGTTTTGTTATAACCATAAAATATAACATTAATATAACATTCCACTCAGAAATTACAAGAGCCCTTCTGAAATCGAGGAACGTAAAATTAATAAGAATAAATCTCACAACATTGTCTCTATACGTAAAATCTCAATTACCTAAGTCAATTTACATTTAGAAATTAAAACTTTTAATGAAGGTTAAGTTGTACCTGTGAGCGTTTGACGCAGAAGAATCTATATTGAATTCATCTCATAAAAGAAAATGGCCTTTTATTTGATGCGGCTTTAGCATTATATACACAGCTATAATGTAATTATGTCTGATTAAATAGTTATTCTTACATAACTGAGCATATAGCTCGGTATAAGTTGGATAAAGCAAAGTATTGCAATTGGAATTTTTATCATAGGGGGGCCTTATATTAGTATTTTATGTAAGCTTTCTAAACCAAAATGGTGTACGGGATTTCAAATAAGAACTGTTCTTTGTGAAGTAGTCATTGTCTTTAGGCGATTTTTCTCTAAGAATTTGCAACAGTTTGAAAAATGTCATTAGATTTTATGTAATCGAATTTGACTTTTTGATATTCTTAAGGTTGTTGGTACATGTTTAAAGGTTAAGAGTTTGTACGATTATATAGGAGCGTTGGGTTTGATCATAAAACTAGTGATGTGCGAAAGATTTGTATTTATATGATAAATGCACTTTGCAATTTAAAGGCTTAAGCGATATTGACAGAAATGTTTTCATCACTGGCAACACGTACTGGTTACATGTCTTCAGACACTGCGAAAACTTGGACATAGTGGTTAACAACTTTGGGAGTATAATTCCCAACAAAAACCAATACGGGCGCAACATAGATATTCGATAGAATTTTTGTCTTACCCATGTTACTGTACTATTACTGTACTGTACCCATGTAACATGATAATGTTTCTATATAAATAAATGTGCACTTCAATATATCTATAGTAGATATGGTGTCGCTGAAGGGACTTCAATACCGCCTACTAAACACAATGGCTGGTCGTGTGCATGTATTCTTTGATGGTAAAGCCATTTCAGAACGCGGCTTGTTCGTGAGGCTATAATTTATCAAAGCTGCTATGGTTACCATTATAAAACAGCGTTATACGTGGCTCAGGAGCGAAGTGATTTAAAAGTGTAAAATTCTTTATCAGGGTCTTATCTCACTTTTTAAAGATAATTACCATCACAGTGCTAAACTATGCTACTGGTTTGGTACCTAGGAGTATTACAAGAATTTAATGTTTAGTATTATGTTGCCAGTGATGAATTTTTACGGAGTGGCCGAAGTTTTTTTAGTTTTTGTTTTTTTGCATGACAAAATCCACGAACAAAAATTTATGCCCAAGAGCCAGAGTCACCGACATAGCTCTCCGGTTTTTACAAATGAATGAAGTGGCAATAGGCAGGCAACATCATTCGAAGTACTTATGTTTGGTCGATATAAGCTGAGTGGTGACCACTAACCAGAAGATGGAACAATAGATGGCCTCTCACTATATGAACCGACGATATCGTAATAGTCGGGGGCAACCGGTGAGTGCAAATGGCAGTGTCGTTCGTTTTGGCGTTCTAAGGGGAGGCCTTTGTTCAACAGTGGATGATTCCGGCTGATGATGTATTCATCCTATATTCACATGTAAACATGTGAATATAGGATACATCCACATTAATAAATATTATGTTTTACTTATACTGCATGTATTTGAAATTACTGTGTATTTAAAAAAAGCAATAACAATAAGATATCAAAATTAGTAGAAATAATCTTGAATCGGTTCTTGAATATAAAAAATGAGAACGTGACATACAAAATCTAAAAATTAATGAAAATAACTAGAAATAACAAAAACTAAAAGGAATTCAGAAGAAAAGAAAAATCGGAGGAACGAAAATTGTTTAAGGCCTACGTTATCTCAATTTTGATACTAGGGATTATTACGAATCAACATTTTGAAGCCATTCTTGTTGTGAGTAGTGTTCTATTACTGTTAAGAGCGTCCGTAGATTTAGATCCAACTGTGATATATCATTGTATCGTAATTTACCATTTGTATTTCTTCAATAATTTATATTGAATAAAACAATGTCATAATAATTTTCAATGTTTTATTTCTTTTTATGATAACATCGCAGCCAATCGTTGGAACGTTAAAGACCTTATGAACGAAACGTATTTACATTTACCGCCATTTATATCAAATTCATTTTTGTCTGTTATTATTTCATTATATTTACGTAAATTATCAAACCACTTTTGGAGTTGCAATATCGATCCGATATGAACGGCGGTTCCTAGGTGTGTTCAATACTAACATGAAAATCACAGTACAATAACATTTTCTAAAAATATACATTTATTTTATCGGATTAGGAAGGCACGAAAGATTGACTTACATTTTAGATATTTATTATGATTCGATGAATTATACAAAAACTTCATTCAAACACTACACAAACTTTACATTCGTACTAAAGTTAATTAATTATACAATTTTCAATATCTAAGAGTACACTTATAGCTTAGAGTAAAGCTGTTTCATTTGTTATTATAGTAAATTAACATGGCAGTCTTCATTTTATATCATACAAGGCACTAGAATATACATACTAATATATACACATTATAAAATTAAAAACCCGAATGAAGACAATATTTACATTTACCGTAAAATCGGTAATAAGCACTTACAAATCACTTTGAGCATATTCAGGCAGTAAGTTTCACAATTAACATGCACAAAATGACAATTAAATACAAAGAGAAACTAATCCGATTACATCGGTAATCAATAAATATTACTATAGTTATCAATACTTGTAGGCAAAACAGTCGATGGAGGAGCATAATATGTACAATCTACTAGAGATATTGTCTAATTTCATATTCTCATTGTCGAATGGGGTGGTTTTCTGTTAGCCGGGGCCGGTGGTAAACCTGGCCCCACAAGAGGTGACATTGAGGGGGATCTAGTAGCTAGAGGTGACAGGGATGGCGAAAAGGACGGAGACATGGCCGCGGCGGCGGAAAATCCGCCTGGAACATCGTGGCTAATCGGTGATCTCGGTAACAAATGCTGCGGCTGTCGACAGGATAAAGAAGGTGCCGGGCAACTTCTCGGTGCAACCGTAGTTAACAAGGGTGGTGGGACACTTTTTCCTCCTGTTATAGAAGTCCCTTTACTCTTAGCGCTAGAAGCGCCACTGTTGCCACTCTGAAGTGAAACGGCATCGTCCTTTAAATGCGCTATTTCCGAGAACACATGTGCTAAAGGCTGGTACCGGGGACCCCAGTCAAGGAGGTAGTCCCAATTGTAACTGCCTGTCAACTCTTCTTCGGAATGCACGATAGAGCTTAGACTACCAGTCATTGAAGGTCCAGCTGTGGGTACGGCGGTATTTTCACCCGGAGCACTAGGAAATGCCCCTAAAGCCATAGCCCTATCTACAGCGGCACTAGCTTCATCTGCACTACTCGCTCTCTCACTGCCAGTCACTTCATTCAGCTTTGCATATATAAGATTCGTTATATCATTCTCGTGGGCACCGTCTTCGTCGAAAATGTGCATAGAGTCGATTGGTCCATGATGCAGCATTGTATCTTTGTTTCCGACATTCTCTGAACATCTCCTTGAAGAAGTTGAAGCTCCACCACCCGTTCCGGTATCAACTATACCAAGTCTTGCTAGGTATTCTTGAGTGTTATGTACTGAAACGTCGGAGAGGTTATCGTCGTCTACTCCATTAGATTGTCTATGCAGACCTGATTCTCTTTGTAGTGGTCCTTCATTTATCATTCTAATTTCCTCATCTTCACCATCCTCCCCATCTTCAGCGGACCCCCGACCACTAGACCCTGATTGGTCAGAGCCGGAGAGTTCAGAGGTTGTTGCTGCACCAGAATTCGAACTAGCCGTATGCGGTCCGTAAGGAGGAATTTCATCATACTTTGGAGGAGCAAATTGGTTTGCTGCGTTAACAGGTCCTGTGTTTCTTATCTGTATTGTATCGAAGCCACTAGGGTCTACGTAGCTGTTGGTCGCACCAACTCCGTCAGAACTAAGGTCTGGTTTATTAACTTTCTTGTGCCTTTTGTTTTTCATGTGGAGAAATAAAAATGCTGCAGCGAATATAATAATTATAAATATAAATGCAATGAGTAATCCTAATGCCCAATCTGATAGTCCACTACTTTGTGCGACAGACGTGTCGTTTATTAAATTAGTATTATCGGACACTACAGCTAATGGATCAAGTAACATTTCTACTGCAGTTTTGTTTGTTAGCGATCCTTGGCGTCCAGAACTAGCTGTCACAACCAAACTGATAGATTTGTCACCTCCAAAAACACTTTGAACCGAATCAACTTTCTTCTTTAGTATAATGATGCCTGTAGTTCTGTTTATTTTAAAGTATGAATGTGACGTTGACAATTGATAGACTATGCGACCGTCGATACCTTTATCTCTATCAGTCGCAGTTACTTGACCAATCATGTAACCCATTGGTAACGATCCTGACTTTGGAACACCAAAGTTGTAAGTTTTTTGTGTGAATTGCGGATAAAACTCATCACGACTCTCCACATCAATTCTAACTTTTACTGTTGAACTTTTACCCCCCAAGTCTGAAGCTTTGATCGAAAATTCATACTTATATTTCTGTTCATAATCAAAAACAGCATTTGAGTTAACTAAACCCGAGAATGCATCTATCTGGAACATTTTCCACGAGTCGTCGTTTCTGTTATAATTTGGTATTATAGAATAGTTCAGTTTACCATATTTGCCTTTGTCCAGATCTGTTGCTCTCGCGATGAAAATGGAAGTACCGACTCGTTCGTTTTCACCGATAGTCTCAAAGTATTCGGAGACTGGGAAAGTTGGTGCATTATCGTTCTCATCGAGAACATCAACCTCTATGTACGCGGTATTACACAAACAGGGTGAACCCTGATCGCATGCAACTATCACAAGTTTGAATTTAGGGTTGCCAATGTCATAGTCTAGTGTCTTGTTAACGGTCAATATACCAGTTGTTGGATGTATGTAAAAAAGTTTTTCATCATCCCCAGACGTGATGTTGTAAAGGATTGCTGCATTCGGTGTATTGAATAGGTCCGCGTCAGTAGCTGACACCTGTGTGAGAGTGTGGCCAATCTTCACGCTTTCGCTCACTGATATGTCGAAGTCACTTAAAGAGAATACTGGCGCATTATCATTTGCGTCTGCAACGGTAACGAAGATGGTGATAGATGTTTTGTTCTGATTGTATGATAAAACTTTTCCTTGTTCTACCGCAGCCAGCCCAAGTACATACGAATCTTGAACCTCTCTGTCAAGACTATTGACTAATATTAGGGCGCCCTCCATAGTGACATCAAAGGTATCACCTTCGTTTCCAGATATAATGTGAAAGTCGAGATTATATTTTTTGAGAACATCATTGATGCCGCCAATTTGTAGAAGCGATGATCCTTTTTCCGTGTCTTCATTAACAGTAATTCTGAAATAAGAAGAGCAAAAATTTTCAATTTAAATTATATTTTAAATTAAAGTTATTAATAATCTATTTTAACACTGGCCACTTTGGTTTGGTTTTCTGTTGCATGAATGGGCAGATCCATCCGAGGAAGTACCACGACCTCAAAAAGGACCAGTGAGAGGTGGAAGTATTATACTTCTGCGTTACGTATGGTGATTGAGGTAGCCGGGGCCCAGTTTATTAAAATATATGAATAAAATCAACGTATCTGAAACCCTACGGGTGTTGCAATTGTCCATGTGTGGCGGCTGTCACTTAACATCAGGGTAACCGCCAGATGGCTTGTCATCTTCTCACATAAAAAAAAAACTTTCTTTACAAACATTTACTTATTTGTGTCATAAAAAACATAACAGTCGAGCATAGTTCATTAAAAAAATAGTAGCATAAAGTACAGACATATAAATGCAACTTTATTTTCTTGTTAACTTTTATCATTCTATTGAAATACGCATTGTATTTAAAGCTAAGGAGCTTGATTCTTTTTCTTGTTAAACGAAATTTTACTTAAAAAACATTCCTTTTACAAATCAGTTGCGTTATGTTGTATAAAAGCAACACTTACATTCTGATATAAGTACATATACTATTCATTTTTAAATTAGCGTGCAAAATGATTGACAGAATTTAGTGGTCATATGTCTGAGATTTCATCCTAACTACTTATTCATGATATAGGTAATATCTGATTTTCGAAGATGGGTATGAAAATTAAAACATCGCTATACAGGGGCGAGAAACTGTTGTTGTCCGTAAGGGCCACCGTGTTCAGGTATTTACACTAAATTTGAAGAACGCACCTGTAAGTATCTTGCCCAATAAACGGTTTGATCTCCGAGGATGCCCCCGTGCTGATCCTCACGGAAGCAACTGCGCTTCTATTGGGCTTTCCGTGGTCTGTGGCCAGTACGGCCAGCTGCGTGTCACGTTGGTTGGCCGGCAGTGCGCTGTAGTTCACGAACATAGCGCCGGTGATTGCGTCTATATAGTAGCCGTCGCTTGGTCGTAGTAAAGAATAGGACAGTCGACCGTTGTCACCGATATCTCTGTCCCTAGCGCTAACCTTGGCGATTTCAAGCGAGCCCGATCCTTCTGTAGTAAAACAAAATTGAAGCACAATAAATACAAGGTTTTTATTTACAATTACTTTTCATTTTACTAGTTGACTGGGATTAGAAAAGGTAACAAATATTTTTGGCAATATTAAATTCATTCATATGCATATCAATAATTGAAATAGGAAATGTTAATTTATCATACTGTTAATTAAGAAAAAGTCGATATAAACCCATAAGAGGGGAAAAAATTTAGTCTAAATGTTAAAGTTTCATTCTTGATAATCATTAATGGTCCAAAATTAATTAGGTTTAAAAAGATTTCAATATTCAATCGTTGTTACAAATGAAATGACAACAAAATTTTGAGTAACAAGTATTACTTTTTCAAAAAATTAGCAAACAATTTCATTCTCTAACTTACCTGGCAACACTCTGTTATAAGAGATTTCATCGAAAACTGGGCTATTGTCGTTGACATCCGTAACCTTAATTGTTAACGTTGTTCTCGCCACATGTTCAGTGTCGGACGCCGTGATATTCACCTCATACTCTTGTCTCATTTCGTAATCCAAAGGTTTATTGAGTACAATCTTCCCGCTATATCTGTCTATTGAGAACGTATTGTCCCCTTGAACAATAGCGTACTTAAGAGCGGGATATGTGTCAACGTCATTTGCCGTAACAGATGTCAGTATCGATCCGACTTCCGCTCCTGTAAAAATAAAGAAGATACCGCCATGAATAAATCCGTGGTTTAAGATGCTCTCTCGTTTGACTGCCACTTTAAACGATCGCAAAATAAAATGCGCCGAAACAAAACCACCGTCGCAGTACAATGATGTAAAAAAACGAACGCAGAAACAAAAAGAGATCGGGCGCGGACCGTTCGTTGGGGAGGGACCGCTAAAACATGCACTTGAAAAAAATGTAATACCGTCCAATAAATATTGATCCTAAAGGAGACCCTTTTATTTAATCTTGGCGTTGGAATCGCAGTCGCAATGTAAGCCAGTCGCAGAGTCGGGAATACAAATTATGTAAAATGCCTCCCCCTTTGTGAGATGCTTTTTGTTCTACCAATTTATTTCGCAAAGCTATCGGCCGCCCTACACCAATTTAAAAGAGAATACGTAAATGGTTACAAAAAAGGGGGAAACAAACGTACCTTCGGATATCGAAATGACATTCGGTGGTGGGAACGTTGGCTGATTGTCATTTACGTCAACCACGTTGATCCTGAGTGTGGCTGTTCCGGTCATTTGTGGGTCACCTTCGTCCGTCGCAATTACGGTTAGCTTGTACATCTCTCTTATCTCGCGGTCGAGTACTATATTAGTTTTTACCGATCCGGAAAACGCAGGTTCGATTATGAAAGCGTTATCGTGATTGCCGTCCACAATGTGGTATAGAATTCTCGCATTTGCCCCACGATCATCATCTTTAGCTGCGAGTTGCACGACGAATTCCCCCTTCGTGTTTCCTTCAAGTACGTTAGCTATGTATTGTTGTTGAGTAAATTTAGGAGCGTGATCGTTCTGGTCCAGCAGATTTACGGTGACGTCGCAATAGGCGTACATGTTCGGAGAGCCTTCAGTTCGTGCAACTACAACGAGCTGCCGACTGGGCCCTTGATGTGACTCGTAATCCAAATTTTCGGAATTGTTGACTCTTATAACGCCCGTGTTCGAATCTATTTCAAATGCGTACTGATCATTACCATTTCCGAATTCGTAAATGATTCTTTGACGTCGACCGTCGCTCCTTAACGCCGTTACTTGCAACACTTCTTTGCCATAGGAAAGATTTTCGTCTATGGTGACATTATACGTTGCATTTTGAAAGCTTAGAGTGGGTGATTGATCACTGAAATCACCAACGCGAATTTCAATAAGTCCCACTGAACTCTGTGGAGGATTTCCTTTATCTTTCGCCATAACACGTAAATGAATAAATTTTCCATTCTCACTGGCTAAGCTTTGAGTTGCTGTCAACACACCTGTGGTGGGATTAATTCGAAACTTATGGTTTGCTGTGTCTAAAAGTTCGAAAAAAATTTCGGCATTGGTACCTATATCATTATCAGTGGCTGAAACACGAAGGAGGCTTTGTCCTGGTGGAGTCAATGTTGCCATCTGCTCTTTGAAGGGGTACTTGGTAAATATCGGTTTGTTGTCGTTTACGTCACTTATGGTTATTTCGATAGAAACTCTTTGAGAGCGTGCAACGTAACGCCCTTGATCCGTAGCAACGGCATCAAAGTGATAAACACTCTTTTTTTCTCTATCAAAATACCTATAAACATTAAGGAATTTAATAAGATGTCTTATAAATAAATAAAATAATTACATTTTTACTACTGACATATTTTTAAAAAATGTCCGTTCTTGACTTTACTTACCCAGTTGTAAAAATAATTCCTGTTTTATTGTCAATTTTAAATAAACCTTGACTTTCATTAGCTAGGGAATATACTATACGTTTGTTAAAGCCTAAATCAGCATCTGTAGCTCTAACTTTAATAATAGAGGTATCGATTGGCGCGTCTTCAGGAATTTCTGCTGAATAATGGCCGGTATCAAAGACTGGATCATTATCATTCTGATCTTCTACTAAAACTGTAATGTTACATGATCCCTGCAATGCTACCGGGGAACCATGATCAAAGGCGACAATAGTTAAGTCATACTTGGATTGAGTCTCTCGGTCTAAAGTTTTCGCTGTTAATTTTCCGGAAGTGGAATCTATAGAGAATTTATTTCCATTATTTCCGGAAATTATACTGTAAGTTATAACACCATTTGCACCAATATCTTTATCTGTTGCTGTAACTGTATGAATAACTTCTGGTTCATTGTTCTCAGGAACTGCTAATGGATAGCACGAACCAGTTTTAAATGCTGGCGGATTATCGTTTACATCTAAAATACTAATGGACACAGTAGCCACATCAAAATTTGTTGTTGATTGAAAGGTACTGGAATCAGTAACGTATACTGGAAAAATGTATTGGTCTACTTCCTCTCTATCTATCTTAGTTCGAACAGTGACCGTTCCCAGGCGTTCATCTATACTAAATTTGTCATCAGCAAGTCCAGGTGGTATAATATATGTAAGATGTCCTAAAAGAAAAGAATAATGTTTTATTAATAAATATAGTTGGTTGCTAACTATCAAATAAAAAAATAGCACGTATCAATGAAATGTTACCTATATTTCCTCGTGATGATTTAGCAGATAATCTGGTTACAAAACTGCCTGGACGTATGTCTTCACTAATATTTGCTCTGTATACTGAATCTGTAAATCTTGGTGGAACATTTGTAGATGCTTGTAGATTTAACAGAAGAGTCATGTGGCTTTGTCTTGGAAAGGGAATCCCATGATCAGATGCAGTTAGATTTAATCTGTATAGACCAGGATGAACTTTTGTGACGTCCGAAGAAAATTTATTAGATAATGTAAGCTTTCCCGTATCATAATCCATTGAAAAGTAAGCGTAATCGTTTCCACTAGAAATGTAGTACGATATCCTCCCATTGTCACCAGAATCTGCATCAACAGCTAATGCCTGATATAATATGCCTGATAACGTATTTAGAGTGACTGAAACTTTATTTTTGGAAACGAAAGTTGGAATATTATCATTTGCATCGGTGACTGAAATATGAACTGTGGCTAATGTTGCCATTCTTTCAGAGATATTAGGTGCTAAATCAGATGCCTCAACAACCAACCAGAAATCTTTAATTTCTTCGAAATCGAGTGGCGATGTTAGAGTCAAAGTGCCAGTTAGTGGATCTAAGCTGCAGAAGTTTTTAGTCCAAGGCAAAGAGGATACTATTCGAAAATTCAACTCTCCATTAGATCCTCCATCAGCATCTCTTGCTGTGAAATTATAAATAGTCATTCCAACAGGAGTGATTTCAGATACTTCAATACTCATAGGATCTTGGGGCCATTGCGGAGCATTATCGTTTACATCGATTATTTCTATTTTTACAGTGACTGCACTGCTTTGGGGGTTATTAGTTGCCGATGTATCCAATGCTCTCACTTCGAGTCTGTATTCATCTTGAATTTCTCTATCTAATTGTCTTGCTACTACTAATGAGCCAGTGCGGCGGTCTATTTCAAAAGTACCTGGTAAATGATCTGATGTTAGTGGCATAAGAAGATATGATATTTGTCGCTCTTCATCATTATTCAGTGAATTATCTTGTATATCATTATCACAGCAAGCGACTGTCCCAACGATGTGACCAATGTTTGCATTTTCTTTGACCTAAACAATAAAATATTTAAAAGTTTTATATACGATTTCCTTTTCATTTACATATTTGGTTTGCAAACTGCCATCTTTACACTGTCATGTTTAAGAAAAAAGAAAACACTTACTTTGAATGATAAGCTGGAACTGGTAAACGTAGGTCTGTTATCGTTTAAGTCCAAAACTTCTACTTTCAACTGGCGTACAGTTTGTCTTGGAGGTTGACCGGCATCTGTTGCTGCTACAGTCAAACGATAAATCGACCTTTCTTCGTGATCCAGAACTAAAACATGAGAAGGTTATTATGTTTCCATTAAGAAATTATTACTTATAAATTATATGTTTACAAATTTAGAATTTGATTGATTAATTCAGTTTATGTAAAATTATAATAAATCATTAATCTTACCTGTACTTGTTTTAATAACACCAGTGTTAGGATCTATAATGAAAACGCCATAACCATCCATATCTCTTTCGTTTAGAATGGAATAAGTTACCGTTGCATTGTTACCGTTATCTTTGTCTATGGCTTTTACTCTGGCAACTTCTGCTCCCGGTTGCTGCTCTTCCCTTACACTTACTACATCTTCTCTGGGATCAATTATTTCAGGTGAATTGTCATTCACGTCAGTTATTTTAATGGCTATAGGAACTCTACTAGACCTCGGCAAATTGCCTTGATCTTTTGCTTCTGCAAAAAGAGAGTATGAAGACTTGAACTCCCTATCCAGTACTTCCCGTGTCGAAATTATACCTGTAACAAAACTTTAATTAGTCTTTACATAATTACTGAATTCGTTCCGAAATGGAATTTATATTAATAAAGTGCATAACTTATTAATTATTATTCTAAGCGATTATAATTATTCTTAAGTATTGCTCCGAATCCCAATGGATTATTTATAAAAATATAATACTTAAAATCAAACACACGTTATTAGTTTTGTTTTATAGTGTTTTTTTGATTATTATTTTTACGTAAGATCGAGACCTATAAAATTAATTTATCTCTTACAAAGTGTAAGAATCAATCGATTTATCGATATATAATCAGTCGATTTAAAAACCATTACATATAATTTCTGTTAAGTCTGAAATTATGTATTCATAAAACGAACGTTTGCCGCAGAATGCCTATGATTATCCAACGGCCCACTCCGTATCGGGAACCTAAAACTCGTGATGACAGAACTGGAAAGGACATCGGCGTGATTTCACAAAAGCGCTCTACCGAAAAGCAGTCCTTAACTGACGTTGATATAGCTGATATTTCCGTAGATCGAGATAACCCTGTCGAGAGATAATAAGATGTGGCAGAGGGCTTCATAATGAGCGATTTGAAGCGGCCACTAAAAAATATGCGTCGATATTTCTCGGCACACTAACATAACATATATCGTGTTGTCGACTTCGAAGTAAGAAAATACCTTACACATCGGGTAGAGATATATTTATAACGAAACACGGGTCACACTGTACAAAGAAGAAAGCGACTCCCAACGATGGCATTCGCGTGTTACCTTTTATTTCTACACCACTGCAATTTATCCTATTTCATTTCGACAGAGATGCTCATGGGTAATTAGTGTAATTTATATTCGAATCCACCCAGTCGGTGTCCGGAGATATTTCACGATTATAATTCATACAAATGCATATGAAAATAAAAGGTATCCGTCAAGGCGGCGAGTTGTAGGTCCGCAGAGCGTCCTACGTGTACAATTGTAACGTATGAGCTTTAAATACCCGACGACAGTATCTCGGCCTGCTGGAGCCGCAATAAAACATGGGAGAGAATGGCGAGGCACCAACGTTGCAATATTTTAATAATAGTTAATGGCGGGTCACGGCGCATGCGCGCGCGACGACGTTTATAACTCGAAGTTGACGCGCATAAATCCTATGCCTCCCGTTGCAGTTTCAATCCGTTGTAGCTTCGATATGCGTTAAAAAAATTAGCGTTAGAGAGAAAAATCCTATTGAACGTTTAGGAAACAAAATTATACTGTATATTTTTGAACACAATATCACAAAACCGCTTAAATTTGTGTAGCATTATCCATATCATGTGCTTATTTATAAGAAATGCTATTTGCGTTCTATTTAAAAAAATATTTTCCTTCGCAATTCAATGTACCTCCGTGGTTAGCTATTATCTAATTTAATGGCCTCATAACGGCACCTGTTAAAAACAAAATGTCACAATTAAGCTTGGCTTAGTATTCAGATGTCGTAGAGAATGATCAACGAATATCGACCACGGTGGCTGCTAAAGATGCACTAACTAGCACGAAGTGTTGATATCCGATATACCAAATTGAGATGAAACGATTGACCATTCATCAGTCAATTAAGGAGTCGGCAAAACTGCTACACTCTCTTCCTCTTAGGCTACACCCATACGGAGAGAAGAAAAACTCACACCACATTCAATAAGAGCACATTCATGGTCAAACTTGGTCATACCGTGCCATGAATAGGTTACAGACTTAAAATTGGAAAGATTTTAATCTCTCCAAGTCAATGCATTCAAAACGCGCGTTGCACTAAATAAGTTGAACAAGTGTTCTGTGCATTTCAATTAAATTTATAGGGTATTTTTTTACCATCGTCAACTGATAATATGATTGATTACTTTATCGGTTCCATATCGATCTAGTTTAGTAAAATCCTACTGTATAGTATTTCATACTGCAATTAAATTGAAGACGAACGCACGAAAACTATTTTACAACATGCTAAGTCGTAATCTTTTATACAGTTAATAAGTAATCATTAAGTATTTTCTTTGCAAAAGAGGATTTCCTTATTTGATCATTGGCATTAAGTGAACCTACAAAATGATATCGAAAATGATATTCATGGGAATATAAGCAAACACCCTCTTCAGTCTGCTCCCTTTTCCATTAAATTGTGCAGGTATTAATGTGGGTATGTTTACACAATCCGTTTGCTCAGTTGACGAGACTTAAGCCACAACACACTTCGGGTTTTAGCTTTCAAAAGTGCCGGCAATGCAAACAACGCGTTGAGAGCTGGGGGAACTGTCGAGCGGGATAGTTCTTTGGCTAATCAAACACTAGTAAGGACCATCGGCTCGTTAGTACTACGGTACCGCATTGTTCTAAGACGGCGAACGCAACGTCCGTAAATGTACAATTGATTCAGGATTTAAGTTGCCCATAAAGGAGTTGCCAAGCCATGTGTTTTTCATTAAAACTGTCAGAAAACATAAATATAAAATATAAAAGCGATTGCATTTACACGTTATGTTTGTGTTAACAGACCGAAAGTTACAATACAAACAAACACTTATTAAGAAGAAATAGTCTCATTCTATACGATCATAAACTTGTTTAATAAGTTCATTTAACTATTGTCATATTGCATCTCTAAGGGAATACCCTTACAGATGCAATATTTCAACGAACTCTTAGTACAAGATAAGTACTCAAAGGTCTTTCCCGTTCAAGAACAGATCACTGTAATGTGTACGATCAATTTGGTACTTAAACTCACCGGAAATGGGATTCACGACGAAACTTGTGTTGGACGGGAAGAGGCTATATCTCACGGCGGCGTTTTCACCCAAATCCGCGTCTGTGGCCGATATCTTCCCCACGTACGCACCCGCCTTGTGATTTTCCTCCACTTGGAACTCATAGGCCGTTTGCATGAAAGCTGGATCGTTATCGTTAGCATCAACAACGTTGACAACCAGACTCGCGCTAGCCGACAGCGGCGGTATACCATTATCGGTGGCAATTATAGACATCTTGTGCTTCGCCATCGTCTCTCTATCGAGGGGTTTTGTTAGATAAACCCAGCCTGTCGCCGGCTGGACGTTAAAATGCTCTTCGTTTGTGTTATTTTCCGATAAAATTTTGTATGTTACGCGAGCGTTGTTTCCGGTGTCTTTATCTATCGCTTGGATTTCCAGAATCTGTAATATGTAGTCAGCCAATTTAAATACAATAAATTTTAATTGAAAAAAAAAAAAAATATTTCTATCATTGGGAATATTGATAGCTAGCGGACTTTACGCTTAAGATGACGGCTTTAGTATATTCGTATAAAGCTGTTATAAAATAGCAAATATTATTACATTCAATATCCAATATAAAAAGTATTTTTTCCACCATCCTTAGTTATCTCATGATTCTATAAATTTGGTAGTATGCGGTGCAGCTAAGTAAAAATCTTACCTTTGCTTTTACTACTTCGGATTCTAATACATTAGCGCTATACGAGTCATGTTCGAAAACGGGTGCGTTGTCGTTGACGTCCTGTACGTCGACCACTAAAGTTAAATTGGCACTTAGCGGAGGAGTCCCGCCGTCTCTAGCGGCAATTATAAGGGTGTGTTTGACAAGGTTTTCGTAATCCAGCGGCCTGTTAAAACAAAACAATGAGATCAGCTTTCGACTTTTTGATAAACTTAGTTATCATATTAAAATTTATCATGACTGATTTAGTCTGTAAAGCAAATTCATAGTATTTAAAATTACCTTAAAAGAGTAACCAGACCATGCTGTGAATTAACAGCAAAGGTATTTGAAGGACCGGTTGCAGAGAGCAGTGTGTACGTTATTTCTCCATTCTTCCCGTTGTCCTCGTCGGTAGCTCTCGCCGCGTAAACTACAGATCCAATGGACGCTGATTCCGCCACGGATACTTTAACCGATGATGTGCCAAATTCTGGAGCATTGTCGTTCACATCCTCCAGCGTTATCTGAACCTGTTGAAATGAAACCAAACGGTTAAGGACGAAGCACTGCAGTGAATACTGTAGATCATCATCATCATTGCAGCCAATTTTAGTTGTTGCTGTCCTTTTACTGTACATTCTAAAACGGAATACTGTTTTTAATCCACTATAATATTCGAGAAATCGGATGTATACTATAAATATTATATAGGATATAAGACTGTAAAAGCTACCAGTTAAATTGAGACAGTTCACTAGGATGTTAAACAATTACTGTACCAAAGATCCGCGGATAGTATGGGGATATTATAGCAACATAATGATAGCAACTAAATAGGTTTGAAGCAATAAATACTGTATTAACTCACCTGAGTTTGGTCGTAACTGGCTGGATTGCTGTTAGCCGCTCGGACGTTTAACAGGTACGAGGACGTCACCTCTCTGTCTAGTTGAGTTGACGTTCTGATAGCACCGGTGTGAGGTTCGATGCTGAAGTGATGGTCGGGATCGCCCGAAACTATGCTGTATCGGACGAGCTGCTTACCTAGAGAACGGAGATTAATTTATTAAACTTGTCTTGTTTAACGGATTTGATCACAATTTTATTGCAATAAGTCCAATCGTAACAAATATTCCAATCATTTCGGATATTTGACGACATCTAGGTGCACATGCATCACAATTAAATTTGGTACTATTTGAAAATACGAAAATTCGTATTTGAGTGAAATCGGCTTGACGCTAAACGTTATCTTCATATTTTAAATTCAGAGAGTCGAGGCAATTATTCGCAGTATCTCTTGCTTATAAATGTTAATTTATATTTACATTGATCGTAAACAGAGCGGTAGTATACCGGTATAGTACCATATAGTAATATGAAGATAAACCTACACATGATTGATGTGTATAAATTTAATAGGAAAAAAATATAATTGAAATTAGAGTTGCAATTACATTATTTACATATCAATGTGATCAATATAGAATCAAAATCTTGCTTTTACTTTTCAACTCCCAAATATTCAAAGCTAAAATCAGTACGAGTTTACTACAACATCATAATGAATCGGGTGAATTTAAACTTTCCAGAAAGCAGTGCGTTCACACGAGACTTGTCAATTTCGAATTTTGAACGAAATGAAAAAAAAAAATTACAACCAATCCAAAGGCAAACGAATTTGTTCCGCCCTTGTTGCTTCGCGCTACATTTGGATTCCTTTAGTTTTTCACCGAAATTATGTCCTAATGTCCTTTGGCGCGAAGACAATCGTCGATTCGCATGCGTTGTTCAGGATTAAAAGTGATGTTCGAACGAATGATAATGGTACAAATACACCACACGCGTTTTTTTTCGTTTTTCGTCACTGATTACGAGTATGTCGAAGTATTGTTGACTATTTAAATTCACAATAAAATTCATGTTTATTCTCGTAACACTTTCTTAAGATGATTAAGCTATATTATTTGCCTAAACACCGAAAGTGGAAATTGTAAATTGTTTTAAACAATTCGATTAAATTATTTTTTCTTTTTTAGTTGAAAGCGGTATGCAATTATATTTCTTTTTAAAAGGTAAAATTTTCTTGTCATACAAAGTTTTCTAAATATTTGATTGAATTTATTAAATTCTCTTGTAACTTCATTATTTTTTTTTAATAAGAGACTGATAGAAACGCATGAACGCTATTAATAATATGCTAGACACTTTATACAGGAAATGCATTTGTCGGAGGTCGTCAAGTACAGACAGCGTTAATCGCCTCTCCGCAAATAACTTGGAGACATTGCTTAGCCAACTCTTTCCCAAATCCCAAAACCCGCAGCAGTAGCCGCTCGAAACCGCATTATTTCTATTAAATTTTAATTGGCACTTCTCGCGGCGGTTTAAGAGATTCATTGTCGTCGGCCATTTTTTTCCGAGGCGTCCCGCTTTTTGCGGTCGCGTTTTTTCGCCGGCCGTTTTGGGCAGATCGGCTGACGGTAGGAGATTGATATACTGACTTATTCACAGACGTTCTCGGCAGTCTTTGTCCCTGTAACAGGTCCCCAGCAACCGCCCCTCCCCCGCCCCGTCCCGCCGCCCCGATGTCCCTTTGTCCCTCCTCTTTATACAGCCGGTGACGCGGTTTCGTCTCGTTTTCGGAGATTTTACGGGGCCCGCCTTTAATGCGGCGACCGGTGTTTGTTTTCGCTTTGAGATATTTCGCTGCTCTCATATGTGTTGCCACGGATGAGTCTCGGGCAGTGCGGAATCAGGAATTTCACGTTTTGTAAGCACTCACATGCGATTATTTCGATTCTTTTGGACTATAATTGTTTTAAGGGTATGTTTCGGTGAAGGCTTTCCCCTATGGTTGGCTCATGTTTAAGGGGGAATTGGTTTCTAAATAATATAAGCCTTTGAAAAGTTTCGTGCATTTAATCTAATTGACGTGATAGAGAATTAAAACGGGAACACTGATGGCGATAATTGCAGCGTGTCCGGCGGGGCTGTGAGGTGTTGCTTTTGATCTGAGCTCATTAAGCCCCAACAGCAGTGCGGTCCCCGCCGTGGCTTACCCGTGCCGCGTCATTACGAAAATTTATTCGCACAGACCCCTCTAAATTGAAATCATTAATGCCACCGCCGATTATCTGCCTCACGCCCCAACGCCCGCCTTCAATTAAAGACTTGTAAAGATCTCCTATGTGAATTGTTGCGATCTCAGATTCAGTTCGAATGAATTAATTATCAGAGAGCGCGATTATCTCCGGCCTTTAAATGCCATTCGGATTAAACCTGGGAAAGACTGCCTATCTGGGATCTAGGCATCGCAACGAAATATTTTCAGAAATGCATCCCAGGGCGAGTCGTACATCGCGGCGGTCTAAGAGGTTAATTATACTTAGATAAATGAGAGCAAAGGTTAATTTGGACTCGGGTTATTACTGATCGTGTATTAAGCAACATCTATATACATAACCCGAGTATTTATGTAGCCGAGCTTTATCGAACTACGGGGTTGCCGTTTTCGGACCGCTGTGAACTCCAAAGCCGCTAAAGACGTAATTGTGCAGCATCGCGACGTACGAACGCGAGCGATGCAAAGCGTTTAATACATAAATCGTGTAAACAATTTCAGCCCCAGTCGCAACCTCCACCTCCAAATAACGCGGCGTAAAAACTTTTAAAATAATCGAGGCGCGGGGCTTTTCAAAAAAGAAGTCTAGAAGGGCACCGGCAAAAACTGTCGTTGCGAGAGGGGTTTGTTGACCCGCGATCGGATTTATTCGGCCGGTTGCTGCCCGGCTGCCCGGGCGAGTATCCTTGGATTTCTCGGATTCGAATTTCAAATTTTCAGCGGTCGACACAAGAAAGCGTGAACCAGATCTCGATGCGTCGACGGCGCGAAAGAATCAATCGGCCTCTAGATTAAATAGCGACCGGCTGGCATTCAATAGACCGCTGAGGCGATCATAAATTACGCGGACTGCGTGTGGTCTAACGGTGGAGCGGCTCAATAATAATATAATTAAATCGAACTCTGATTGGAAACACACCTACCGTATCGTAAGTAACACGTTGAGTAACAGTACTCATATTTCATCCATAGTGAAACATAACAGTTTCGTAGTGGACGGAGCAACTACGTAACTCATTTCCATTGGTGTCTTTAGAAATATGATAAGGATAATATAAATAACGAATAACGTACATAACGCAACATATTGCTGATATTATTTGTTATTTTACTGTTGTGCGTTGTAGATAATGCTCATAATAAATTCATAATTGCATATATGGCTTCGGCGTAAATTGTCGTGAGTTCTGTTTTTATATGGAAAAAAGTGTTTATACGTTCAATAAAAAGTAAAAATATCATAAAAGGAGTGGTAACTTTGCGTCTATCTAGATTATTTATTTTACGAAATAACACCACTAAAAGGATAGACGTAAATACAATGATTCAAAGGTGTCCTAAGCTATCAAACTTCTGACTGGCTCTGATGCATTAAAATGTTTTTTCTCTTGACTGGAATAAATATGTTGACGATAAAACAGGAAAGCAAGAACAGTGAAGAAAACAAAAGCAGATTTTTATTACGGCGAGACAACTTGTCCGATTTATGACGAAAGTTTACCTGAAACATGATATATATATATATATATATATATATATATATATATATATATATATATATATTTTTTTTTTTTTTTAATTAATGGATGTTTATCTCCGGGCAAACGGATCGTAAATCTCGCAGGGGCGTGCTTTGGAGCATTGATCTTAATATCATGGTGCTTGCTTTCTAATTAAGCATGGGATCGCTGGGATTGGCTAATCTTTCTGAATGAGTAACAGTATCAGAGCGTGCAGTAACAAATGCGTTTAATGTTTTAAACGGAATCTTTAATTTGACTAAATCAATACATACATGATAGGACGGTAGTCAAGGACGTGAAAAAAGAAAAAAAGGCCTGTCTGAGAATTTAAAAATGATTTTTTCAATACGTCATACATTGTTTGTAAAGGCAGGGAAGTTTTTAGTCATAATAATTTCATCGCAATTAGAAATGTCAATAGTTCTTATGTAAGAGTTTTCACCGTGTAAGTTATATAATTGGTAGTCGATAGGTTTCTATTCTAACAGTTTTACAGTTTAGTCTTATCTGAAGACGGAATAGATTATGTTGCGGGTAGAGTGAACATAAGGTATCTTATATATTTAAAAAAAAATACTGTAATCTTACATAGTTAAAGAAAATAAATAACAAGAAGGCAGGGTTTCTTGTCGATTCTTGTTTAACATGTCTATTTTTGTGAACCGGTGGTAGATATTTGACGTTCAATAAGAGCTTAAAATAAGCGTATATTGAATAAAGAAAATTTGTCTTTGACTTTGAAGGCAACTGATTCGAACCGCCCTAGACCTACACCACACAACGGCAATATGTTACAATTAAATTTCAAATTGACATTTTGCTATTGTGGTGCTTGCATTCGCGATATCGACGTTTTTCCCGTCGGGCCAATGCAATTATGAACGATTTATTTATAACATGCAATGATACAAACTGTATCGGTTCTGCTTTATTTAAAAGCAATTATATACTTTATATCAGCTTGGCTGAGGAGTGTCCCTCCGGAATGAGTTACTGCACTTGGCTCATGCCGGTACCGCTATCTACTCTTCCGGTGAGTATCGGGAATTGTCATACGCGTGAGATAGCATCGAGTAAGTTATTGGCTGCCGGTTCGAATACGATAACGCTGACAATATACGCCAGCTAAGCGGTTTTTGTAGAGAATTAATTAAAAATTAATAAACGAATATTACAGGACACATTTTTACACAACTTTGTAATTTTGACACAGCAATGTATTTATTACACACAGCAGTGTATATATTCTCTATACCCTAGTAAATATCCTAGTAAAATCTTTATGCTAGCAAATTATTTAAGCCTAACTTTTTTATTACCTGATGCGGTATACATGCATACCGCATCAGGTAATAAAAAAGTACACACTGATAATACACAGATAATAAAAACATTATCAAATGTAACTTAAATATTATTACTTAATACCATATTTTTATTGATAAAAGAACTTCATTGTAATCAGGTTTAAATGTTTTTTTCCTTGCTGACTTCGATAACAACCGATACCTTACCTAACCAATTAAAAGAGTAGCGGAGCGGTCTATTTCGTTGTCGCAAAATATGTGAAGCGTTAAACTATAAACAGACCGCTATCTCTCATAACAATGGCGGTGCAATGGCGGAATTCTCACAGGCAAGTGCGCGACGTAATATAACGGCGGTGTTTGCAATTCAGTGATTTACGGGGCCTTCTCTGACTTTTGCCGGCGACAGAGGAAACGTGAAGGCGTACGTCACACCGTGCCGTAAGCTGTTGGGAAGCGAGCGATCCTGAACTCGTCTACAAATATATATCGTACTAGAGTGTTTGTGGAATGAACTTCCTCGGTAAATTCCTCGTGCGAAAACGTTAGAAAAGTTTAAAAATGATTTAAAAAATCATTATCTATACCGTCGTAATCAATAGTTTCCATTGTCAATATCGAGATTCAATTATTCTCTCATGTTTTTATTTATGTTATTTATAGGTATTACATATTAATTTATGTTTATGTATGTATATATTATAGTTTGTTTTGGTATTATTAAGTAAGTTTATGAAGCACACCACCTTACACTGTTTATTAATTTTCCTTTTCTGTTGTAGTCTGGAATCTTAATTTACCTTAATTTTATGTCAATTGTATTAAATTCTTTGCGGTATACAATAAATTGTATATAATAATAATAATAGAGATACTGATTTCTCAGGTCATAATTCAAGAATATTCAGACGAAGAGATATACTGTGGCGGCCTTATCAAATAGATACGGCCACCCGCAGTGTTGCCCGATCCTCTACTACAGTGTATTTCAATCGATGATAATGGTGTATTTAAAGTTAATATTGTTGATTGAAAAGTAAGGCGAGGAAGGAAATGTAGTATGGAATATATTGAGAAGGAAGAGGAAGGATATTTATTATGGAATATATTGAGCTGCACGTAAATTACATTGGGTGTCATAACATTTTATCAAGCGCATTTTAATACCAACTTGAGCAATTCAGCTATTCAAGCTTCATTAGTTATTGATTTTAAAAATTCGTTTAGGTCAAAACGATATCGTATCAAATAAGACAAAATTAACACAGGGTGGATTGACGGTCCTGGTAAGTCATTGCTGAAAGGTTTTTAAGGTTATGGTCTTTTGGAAAGTGTAAAATCGTAATTCATATGAAATCCCACAAATGAAAATGTAACCAATTCGCTTCACGGTGTAACTGACGTCATCGCAGAATAAATATTAGCGGAACAACGCACCGCTCCGAGTGAGATAGCGAGCGCCCTATCCACTCCCTTTGATTTATCCACTATGTTTCAATGAATCTATGAAATTATAATCGAAATTCTAATGTCGATACTGCGGCTTGTTAAACGATTACATCCTAACGGGACCGAGTAAATATCGCAAATAAAACGACGCATTGCAGAGACGGGCGTCCGACAAATGACAGCTGTAGAATTTATAAAACATCCAGTGTAATTACATTGCAGTGGATTGTGTACTGTGATAGAGTTCTCAATTTAGATATCCGCAGAAGAGCAAAGGTAAGCGACATAGCTCCGAAGATTGTAAACTGAGATGGCAACGTGCTGGCCATATAGTTGGTAAGTATTAAAATTTCCGATACCTTGAAAAAAAAGTTTCTCGAGTACGACGATGTATTGGCTATCGCAGTATTGGATGACCCCCCTTAGATGGAGTGATGACCCATTGCAAATGTGCGGGAAGTCGACTGATGCAATTGGCTCGTACTTTGTGGCAGTTTGTGGGCGGGCCTATGCTCAGAAGTGGACTAGGACAGGCTGACATGATGATGGTGACCTAACAGCTTGTAGTACTTTACCCCAAGCTTTTCTATGCCCTGTCACATAATATGTGTGTTATCTATGTTAACTACCGTTGCCTGTGAAATTAAATTTGCTTTGCCAAACTTTCTCATTAACCAAACTCTCAATCTTAGATCGAATTATTCCCGTTGTAACATTACGTGATGCCACTACTTATAAAGAAAAATTTTCTTGTTTCAATTATTACATAGGTACAAGAAGATCATATCAAGGGCATAGTTTTAAAGTATTTTTATGCCATTGAAATTACGTAAGCGTGAGATTCTTGAGGCAGCCGCTTTAAAGGATATTTCAAGCGTTTCGGCGGTCGCGTTGTTTCCGACCGTAACCGTTTACTTTACATTGTTGCATCGGAATTCCAGACGATTAATAAGGATCGATGTATCAGAATTGCTGGTTGCCTGATACCTTCGGAACATGCGAGACGACTTTGTATGGTAAATAACAACCAAAATCAACGCGTTAGTCATGTAACCAACACTTAAACCCTTATACATTAAGCATCATATGTTGTATCTGTTAAGTCAGCGCTTCCAGTCCGTAGACTGTTAAAGCTACGTTAAGCATCCCATCTCTTTTAGTGTTTTCTATTGCACAACTGATTTGACAACTTCTCTATACGGTAGACGATTTATTTTAATCTAACCTTTTGTCATAAACACATTAGGTAAAATGAAACCTGTAAACTTTGAATACTCTTTTACATTATTTCCTTTAATCGTATTGTCATAAGCATTTAGACATGATTTAATGTAGTTGGAACACAAACAATTTTTCATCTTCCCCGTATCATATGAAGATTTTAAAAATCCATTCGTACAATCAAACTTTAAGTTAAAGTCAAATTGAAATTGAATATAGCTGAAGAATATCACAGAATAAGCTCAAAGCATTCACTTTCAAAGTATGTTGAACCTTTGGCAATCATAAATTGCTCGACGGCTGCTTTCGCTGTTAAGAGCCTAACAAGTACAGACCGAATTACTAAATGTGGGGGGAGGGGGAGATATACAATGGTCGCGCATAACGTCTTCGTGATCGCGGCCCGGACAATGGGCGATTACGTATTTGTGCACAGATATCCACACTTTGAGCGCTTGGCGTGAACCACAGGCGACGGCGGACTGCGTTATCCAACGACCACTGTATAAAATTGACATTGGCGCGTTCGTTGGGAAGTCACGACTGAATCGCATTACGCTGGAAGTTATCGACTAGAACTAATAGATGGCGTGATACTTGTGATTTATCTGGCCTCATCTTATCCGTGCTAACTTTCGTATTGCAGTTTTCAAAGGTACCAAAAGTTCTTATTTTTATCTTGTATTCATTTACCCATATAATTTATTCATGTTGCTATGATCTATAGTTACGAACTGTTTCATTGGTGACGACTAAACTTTACAAATATTTGAATACTCTACAAAAGTTAAAAATACTTTTTTGCTTATGGATTGGCTAATACTTTAAGTCAAAAATTTTAAGTTTAACATGACTTAAAACAATTCCGGATATATAAATACCTCTTTATTATATTTTTTCTTGTTAGAACTTCCATTTGTTTTCTCCTCGCTACAGCTTGCACGTTGATACGCTACTAGTGTGGCACGATTTCAATAAATTTGTTAAAGCGAAATGAAGCCATAATGTAATTCGATTCAACGGTAGTTGGATCTATTCTGACATTCATATTGACTCTGTCTCTAAGTGACTTTCTTTGTACGTAATCTAAAACGTTTATTTGTTTGTTTGCATACGGAACATTCTATCTCAGGAATGCTATTGAATCGGTACATTGAGTGGCTATTTGGTTTTTATAACTTCATTTCGAAGCTACTTCAACAAACATGTCAAAAGTGATTACTTTGTTTCGGAGTTCTAACGTTATTTTATAACGCTTTTGATTTTATACTTATTTATATATCATGATTAGTAAATTTTGAGTGTGCATCGAATATTTTCCTTACATCTTAAGAAGACTTTGTTCAATGATACATTTAAATACTAAGAACTTATATTCTTTAATAAAAATAACTATACTACTACTAGTTAAAGGAATAACTTACCTCCGGCGGTGGCTTTCAAATTGCCGACGATTGTTCCGCTCCTAACGTCTTCGCGGATTCGGAAATTGTATCTGGGCTTGTCGAATAACGCTGAGCCGACGCCAGTAGGCATCACGTTGACGTGGACGACGGCCCCTTGGGGTGCGGTCAGTCCACCGCCGTCGGTCGCCGATATCTCCAAATCGAACTTGCCGTTCGCCTGAATAAGAGCTGGCTTTGTGACGAACATCTCGCCGGTGCTGCGGTCTATCCTGAACACGTCGTTATCGTTCCCGTTGATGATCCTGTAGGTTACTGTCCCGAATCTTCCAGAGTCCGCGTCCGTAGCGGTGACCGCGACGATAGGCTCGCTGGATGACACCCTCCCCTCCTTCAAAGACACGTTGTAGTCCTTAACAGTGAACGCGGGAACGTTGTCGTTGATATCGAGCAGTTGGATCTTCACCATGGCGGTCGTGGACAGGCCCCCTGCGAACACATAAATAATTGGCCCTCTGATTGTTCGCGTATTGTTGTAATGTTATGTTTAATTGACAGCCCGCTTGATTTATGCCAATACCGTACGATGTCGATGTTTTCACCGTGTACGGGTTCTGCGACGGCCGCTCCGACTGAACGCTGGTACTCGGCAATAATTTAATTGATGCATACTCTTTTAATGCGAGTACGAACAAACCCGTTCCGAGTCGCGAAACGGCTTCGCGTTGCAGCGTGACAGAAACAAGGAAACGGAATGCATTTCGCTGATTAACGAGGATCCTCAGCGTGGGGACAAGGAAATACAAATTCTCAAAATTTATTGCCATCGAAGTACGCTGAAACGAGATATTGCGCTTTATTTCGTCTATATTCGAGGCCTGCCCGTTTGATTTAAGGCAATATCGAATTAGAGTCTAATTACATTTGAAACTTTTATAGTACCAAAAACGAAATTAACTGTCGTACAATTTAATCGTGTCAATGTTTTTCTTGGTCAACGTCAACTTGAAGCCTTTTAAGGTTTAAAGCGAGTCCGCTAAATCAAGACGTCCTTTTCCTATCGAAAGAAAATTCCGACGAAATTTCGCTTTCCCAGGCCGACGCTCGCCGCTTCAGATTAGCCGGAATAAAAACCTCACGGCATGTAATAGTTGGACGCTTCGCGCCCCATAAATCAGTTGGGTAGTAGAGACAACGGCGGACGGACGCTCTCGGAATTTATTCGCGACTTTCTGCCTTGCGTCGTCGGCGCTTTATTTTTGAAACTCTGCATATGGATTTATAGTTTGCAATGCTCCCACCTGTCGGTATTATTTTACCGTTTCTCCTTTTATACGTTTCTTTTGTGAAAGAATTATGCATCGCAACTTTGCTTCGGTCGGTTCATTTAGTTGTGAACCTGCTATTATCATTCAAGACAGTTTTGTTTCATTTTAAGTATAACAAATTGTATTAATTTTAATAAAGTATAAATATTTTATGACTTCACTGTCTCTATTTATAATAAAATAACTAATTACACATATTTTTGTCATGGGTAGGTTTCTAAGTATTAAATTCAACAAGCGGTGATAAAAGTTCTTATACGAAACGGATTGAATTAAAAAGTGTTGATGAGATTTGAGTATAGAAATCTTAAAACATATTAGTATTGTTCGTTACCTCTATCAGTTGCGACGACAGGGAATTCGAAATCACTGTTGAGCTCATGGTCTAGTGATGCGGCGACGCAGAGCTCTCCAGTGTCAGGTTTTATTGAGAATTGCGATCTGGCCGCAACTGTCTGCTCCGGTAGTGTGTAGTTCACGATCGCGTTGACACCGCAGTCGGGATCTATTGCCGACATCTGGAAGGAGGAAATAATGGATATTAGACACACAGATTTTAACATTTTAAAAACAATAATTTGTCAACGATATTGCGGATACGGGACAAAATGCTACATAGATTAATTCAGACTGGGATTCATTAAAAAAATATATTTATTAAGACAATGTAATTTTAGCCAAGCTAAGCAAAGCTTGTACTATACTTATATTGTACATATATAAGCTCCGGTAATAGAAAACGTTATCTTTATAACAAAATAATGTAAATCTAACCCACACCCTTCGGTGCAAGAGACAGGATCACTATCCCCTGCGCCAATCGAGTGTTTAAATGTAATAAGAGTGTAGTATTAGATTACTTAAAACAATCGTTACAAACGAAAAGTGTTTAAAAGGCGTAAGACATGTCAGAATACACATCTGTAATCTCCAGGGTTCAACAAAACCTGGCATCGGAATTGATCGTACCAATTAAACTGATCGAGAACACGGTCGGTCCATAAAGCCTAAAATTATACGGGCGTCTACCAGAACTGGAAATTTCGTTATCCCAAGCGGCATATCAATTCCCTCTTCACAAACTTTCTATAGACTGTTTACCAACGGTGATAAGGATCATGAATAATTCGAATCACTTAGTTCTAAACGTACTAATCAAGTAGCTGTGAGGTCCTTATTATAACAGCGGTATTTATTGAGTTTTATGGGACTACGGAATTCTACCTCCTCTTGGTTTCTGATTGAATGCTTAACGGTAGCCAAGCGGTATTGTTGGATGTTTTCAAGTGCCACAAGGTCATTTGCAATAGTCAGGTAGTAATTTGTAAATTGGCAGGGTGCGAGCGAGCGCATGGTTTATTTCCAGCACAGTAAAGTCGGATGTCGTTTGGATTGATTTTATATTATTCGAGGAAGCGGACAAGCTGAATTAGAATCGTTTTGTTCTCGGGAGTTATAGTGGTGACGATCAATTTGATACAAGTTACACCGTCGCGGGTTGATTATGACGACAGAGATAACTTTGCGTTAAGACGTCACGGATAAACATATAGCAGCGATTAAATAATCATTGAATACATTCAGTGATTAACAACAAAGATATTAAAATTTTATATTTTTACGTATACCGCCTGGGCACGAAGGGTGTTCTAACAGTGTCCGTTTACCGTTTTTCATATTCCTAACTTGCAATAATTACCGCATTACATTTTTCATTGGTGACCAGCATAAGTTCACCTGTCGTGAATAGTTAATGTCGACAATATGCTTAGATCGCATTAGATATTTGTTGGCACTCGGCAACTGTTGAGACGTGAGCATTTAGTTATGTATTTTTACATATATTGATAACTGTCATATGAACCGTTGCTATCGTGCCCTGATGTCTCAATCACGATATTGGGGCAATTCCAAACGGAGGAACTTCGCGTGCAACAAAACTCAAAGGACGCTCGCGTCGTAGGCGCTAAGTGGTCGAGAAAAAACGAAGATTAGCACAACACTGTCGATAATTAGCAAGAAATCATCTTTTTCTCTTTATCTCGCGTACGGTGCGCGAAACGGCGCGTTTCCTATGCCCCTCCGCTCGCGTGATATTCGCCCTTAAGGGTTTACGATACCGTTCAGAATCGCGCGCGCGTCACCGAGGTACCCCGTAACCGGAGCCGAGGTCTGTACATGACAACGCCAGCTGATTAATTGCCGCGGCGTCCAGTGCGAAGATAAATTGTAGTTCTTGCAAATGCGACGATACCTCACGCGACATTCCGCCGTGCTGGTATGACGTTAAGAGTTAAAATGCCACAGATGCAACGTCGGGCGGTGTTAGCATTAGCCATTTACACGTAAATTTCGCTGTTGTCTTCATTCGTTTATACATATTGCTCTCGTCTCATATGAAGACCATTATCATTGTTCCCTCGTTAATGTCAACGCGTGAATTTAATAAGAAATACAGGTTGTGCTGTTGCAACGAGCCGGCCGGAATCGGCCCGATATTATTCAACTCGTATCTATATTACACTGTTGTTTCATTAAACTTCCACAAACCCTTATATTGTGTCCTGATCTTTATACAGGTTGAATTATACCTTAAACCATTATATTATTCAAGGAACAGTTTTATCTGCACGTGTTTACTACGTGCACGTTTACCTTTTATTAAGCTATATTTTATTAGTGATCATTAGATTCTTGGTATCCTGCCAAAGGATGTTATCTTCTCGCTTTCAGACACATTGGTAGGCGAATTTTATCAAAAATCGCCAAATGTTTACCATACGTACATGCAAAATTATACTACATAGCCACTGATATTGTGCATATTTAGCTTAATAAGTTTATATTCCACAGGGAAATTACAACTATAGTTAAAATTTTTGACCCGGATTCCATTTTTTAATATCTAATATCTAGAGAAGTATCATCTTTTCTTGAAAGATTTCTTTAATGTAAACATTGTAATATTTACATTGTAGTGAATTAAATGCAACATCTTACATTACATTAGTAATCTGACGCCAGATTTAAGTTGATCAGTAAATTTTTACTACATATACGTACTTGAATATAATATATATATTTATAGGGAATGCTGTCTCTGTTTATATTATTTTTAATGCAATGCTTCAGCCCTCCAGTCGCACTATACAATCGGTTTACAAATTGACAGTTTACTGAGTCAAAAAAATAAAACAAACAGCACACACATCCGATGAAACAAAATAAACTGGGTTTTGTTCATTTCGATACGCGCGGGTAGTTTGCATATAATGCCGAAGAGTGGAACAATAAATCGTGTACAACCGATTGCGGAATAAGCGACGAACGCCAAATAATGTTATCTACCACTTCGGAATATGACGTACCGAGATAGCTCCGGAGTCGGGTGTCGATTGATACTAAAGTGCTTAAGTTGTTTATATTTAAATTTTCAAGTAAGTTGACGCACACAGTATCGGCTACTTCAGCAACGAGATAACGGCGTCCACAATGAGATTTATTGCATACTTCCCTTAATACGGTGCGTATTTAAAGACGTGTTAAGAGAGTGTTACTGTGACCGTTTCGCGCGTCTCAATTAGGGGCTTTAATGGGACCGCTAATATTCTTTTTGGCCTGCGGTACCCCGGAAGATGTAAATCGGAGGCGGATTTTTTTAAATTCGCGCTTACAAGGCGACTACTTTTCTGAATTTGGCCAGTGTTCGGTTTTTATCAAACGTGATGTAATTATTGATTGATTGAATATTCTTTATTGCACACACCATAGTAAAAAAATATGTTAAAGATAACAATTACGAAAGGGCTGTACTATGGGCGGCCTCATTATTTAAAGAAATTTATTGCGGGTACCTTTGGATGGACATATTATTCAAAGACCTATGTAATTATGTGTAATTTTACCACCAACTAGATTTACCATCAAAATGCACTACGTTTACCACTTAAAGTAGGTCAATTCTATTCACCACCTTAAAGAGACTATTCGGAAATGTTTCATTGCCAGTTTTAGAATGAAAAAATGGAGAATGGGGACCGCACTACCTTAAAAAGACCATGAAATTACTACTGTTACATCGCTTTTGATAACAATTTTGATATCTCTGCAGACGCTGAAGCGTAGATAACTGGATAGGAGAGTAAAGTCTATCTATTTTAAATTCAAGATTTTGTAACATATAGCACTAGGAACGACCCAAACTGGTTTTATAATATATATCACTAAAGACGACACAAACATCGCAAGAATTTTTGTGCCATTGTAATCTGATTATTTCTTTTAAACATATATGTTTGAAAATAGCCAGAACAACTGGAATAATGGGATACTGATTGTCAGGCTAGTCCAAAATAAAATAAATTCAAATCCAATAACATCCGAGCACCGCACGCATCTAAATAAAGCAGATGCCTTGTTTACTCGATACAAAAACGTATAAATAAATTATACGCAACAAAAATAATAAGGATTCCCACTCAGTTCGGCCGTCGCTAAAGGACATTGTAATTCAAACTGATTGGCACACAATAATGGAATCAAACATGAGCCATTTAAAAATTGTCCGCGTTAAAAGGAAAAAGGTAAGGGAGGCGACAGTAGTTAAGGGAGCAAATAAAATTGTGTGAGGACAATACCAGGGCCGGCTTCAGAAAGATTTGTAGAGCCATTAGTTGCTCAGCCCCAGGCGACTGATGAGCGATTCTATTCTCTATCACAATACGTTAAAGCCTAAATTTCCAAATGCAGACGACGCCGGTGTAATTAAAAAATGAAACGAAATTGTGACCTGCATTCCGTTCCAGCTATTGCCGTCTTTATAAATCGACTGAAGATATTTCTGGTTTCACGAAAAACGCAAGAAAGTACATACTTAGTTTCGGAACTTTTTGGTCACATGTGATTGCTTTATGGTACTCTTGCGAAATAATTCACTAAAAAGTATCCTTTTATAATTGATATTTGTTTTTGAGAATCTGTTTTAATTAACAAAGTTTGAAAATATATTTTAAAAGTAACAAAAGTTAAGACATTTGTAGAGGCTTTTTACAATTATCCAAAGGTTTTATTGCAGTGGAAATATTTTGTTCAAGAAATTCAAATATTTTTTTTTTTTTTTTTTCATTGAATGAACGGTACATTTAAAGTTAAGTAATCACCATTAATTCGCGTGATGGTCTTACCACTGAACATAAGTACATTTGGTAAATTTTTATTAATATTAAGTGTAATAATCACAATTAAAATAAGACCAAGAATATACATGTAAACATTTATGTAAAAGGGAATCAGGAAATTAGTCCTGTTGACGGCTTGCGCACCTTTTCTCGTATGCGTATGCATAAATTAAATACAGAACACGGCTGCTAATTTGTCCGTCGTGAGCAGATGAAATTTCTTCCCCGCAAAAAAATTCCGAAAGAAACAAACCGCCAGTTATTTTTATCAAACGGGAATTGAAATTAATTTTATACTGTCTTTAAATTTCGACGTATCGGAGATCCATTTGTACTTATCTTCGGACACTTTATTGTGTGACAAATTGAAAAAACAAAATAGCTCTAAGTGACAATATCGAGTTATTACTTTAATAACAACGTCTCATTTATATTAATGTATATGATAGCCCTCTTTTTACAGTTTTTATAGTAGCCAGTGTGATATGAGAGTGACGGATAGAGACGTCCGCAGTAAAGCGGACAGTGGGGCGACTATTTTGAAGAGCCTTCATTAACAGTATTAAAGTGAGATAAAAACTTGAAACGACAACGCATAATCAGACGCTGGAGCTAAAGACTTTGTTAAGGAAGCTAGGCATGCGTATCAGTAGTTTTTGTTCAACGCCTATGTTCGTGCTTCGCACACGATTCCTTTAATTGGATGTGTTAGTCTATATGTGTATTTAGTACCGGTTTCTGTCTATATTTTTCTTAATCTGTGGTAGTCGCTATGACCACATATGAGGTTGAAACTAAATAATCGTTTTCCGATGGGGCCAAAGAAGTTTCGTGTCATACTTTGATCATGCGAATAAACGAACTATTTGTCTTTTATTATCCTTATGTTTTTTCTCGTTAATACGAATACTGATATACATAATATATATGATTACTTTTGTGGTAATTTTTTTTTTAATGTACCTAAGACATTGCCCAAAAGTAATTGGTGAAACTATTTTATTTCTTTATGATACGTCTGTGATTGATTATTAAATATATCGTTTCAAATACTGCATACTGAGTACATTTAGTAGAACCGTTCAGTTTTTAAACGCATAAAATCGTTTTTAATAGTTTGTTACCAAAATAACAGCTTTCCCACAGTTGACCTGTTTGTGCCCCTTGTTTTAATTACAAATTTTCTATTTCAATTTTAATCCAATAACTAAACAATTTATTAAGTATATAAGTCATCGATACATTCTGAACATCGAATCGATCCGAACTGCGATATAATGAACCATTTAAAGCCGCGCAGTACTTGTATCGGACCGCGCTTTATTTATCGTTTCATAAGGGAAACACTCCGAGTTATTCCTGGATAAATAACGCACCGCACATAGTAGTTTCTTAATTGTCCCTACAAGGCAGCCTTCGCGGCTGACCTTTGGGAGCCTATCTCCGCGTTGTTCATTAAACACTTCATTGTCCCGGCCAATTTATTCCTTTTATTTTCGACCGGCCGAACCGAAAGGATATTTTTCATCTTACAATTTAAACGGGTCCCTTTATTTGCATTGGCATTTCATTGCAATGGAATTGGAGCTATGCGCACTTAACGTCGGTACGAATGAATTCTTACAATGCCCGTTGTAGTTACTGACAGCGGTGTTGTCTCAGTTCTTATTTTGAAATCTCAAATTGATACTGATATTTATACAAGTATACATATACAAGGTTCATGCGCCGAAATTGCTAGTTGTGTGAACAGTCATTGAGTTATATCGTTTGGTAACCTCTATCGTCCATTTTTGTCTAATCTATATAGAATAATACGAAATGTATTTGTACGAAATTGTACTACAAAACTGCGAGATCTGCGAGATTTAGACTTGTTGATTTATTTGAGATTCTGAAAAGTATTATATAAATGAAAATCCCATATTTACAAAACGTGCCCAAACTAACCGATACAAGGAGTGATGATTCTATAAAAAAGTTTTCCGTCATGGGTCGCCCGGCAGATGTGATTTAATTACGAACGAATTGCAACATTCCCTTCAAGCAAAACTATTCTTTTAACCGACAATGGGCTTTTAACAACACG